GTTAGGGATGATTTTAATATAATTTTAATTACGACACAGCTACTAATATTTGGCTTTTAATTTGGTTTTAGAGGGGTTTTTATTTTGGTATTTATTTATTTTATTTTGGTATTTTATTGTTACTTGTTTTTAATATGCTGTGCACCGCCCTGAGTCCTTCGGGAGAAGGGCGGTATATAAATCAAATTAATAATAAATATGCCAGTCACATGGATGCCCAATGCATCGAACCAATCTAGCCCTATGAGGCTTATGCAGTGGCCCTCAACTACAACGATGTCCAGGGGACCCTCAAACTCTTTGAACTGCACTTTGAGAGTGGCTTCCCCTTTAACTGCTATGCAGGAGTTTTGGAAAACAGTTAATAGGAGATTTGACGGCTTGCGTTTGACTTGTTTGCTGCTGTGACTACAAATGTGGTTAAAAGTTCCTTGGGAAATTATAGACAGGACTTACCCTGTATCTAGTTCCATGTTGCATGGGACTCATGAAGCTTGACTTTGAGTCTCAGCTTCTCCTTCATAGGACGATGGACACCTGTTCTAAACACACTCCTTCTGCTAGCACAAAAACCAACTCTGTGTTGCCCTGGGCCCCCGAAAAATTCCTGAAAAATTCTTCTTGTGGACTGTTCCTCTGGTGACCTTTACAGATGGCAGCAATGTGGCCTTGTTTGCCACACACCCGGCATGTTGCTGTGTGGAACCTGCACTCCGAGCATCTGTGTTGGTCTCCACAGCCCATACATCGAGTGAATGGGCTGTGGCCACTGAACCCTTGCTGATGCCTTCTGCAGCAGATTGATTTCATTGTCCATGTCGGAGGCCTCACCTCTTTCCGCATCCTCATGGTGGACGGCTTCTGGGCGGGGAGTGTTCTTGGAGGGCCGTAAGGCTTTTACGGTTCCCCCTGTGGCTTCTTCAGCCATACTCTCCTTTAGAGCATCTTGGAATGACAAGGACTCTTTTGCGAACAATTTCTGTTGAAGATCCCACAAACTAAATGGTCTCTTAGTCTCTCTTCGAGCTCTTGGAAATTGCAGAGCTGGGACGCCTGTCATAGGGCAGCTATGAACTCGGCGGCACTCTCGCCTGGCTGTTGCTCCCTCTGTTTGAAGGCATGTCTCCAGGCAATGACTGAGAGCTTCAGCTTGAAATGTTCTTTGAGTATTTTCTTGAGCTTGGCGTAGGCGACTGATTCAAGAATGGTTGGTGCAACCAGGTTTTCAGCAAAATAGAACGTTGCCTGGCCACACACATGCACAGCAGCATTACGGCTTTAAGCCATCTTCGCTAACTTGGTTAGCTCTCAGATAGTTCTCAACTCACGAAATGTAAGAGCTCCACCTCTCGGGATGTAACACGTCAAACTCCGACAGTTTTCCAAGCTTGGCCATGGTGAGTTGTTTCCGACCTCTCGATCCCTTGTGCTGTGAAGGCTTCTGTTGGTGGTCCTGGGGATGAGTCCCTCAGGCATTGGCCTCCAGCGTTGCTTGCTGGCAGGCAGAGGGGGGACATAGTTCCTACCAGGGCACTGAGGCCTGGTCTTACCCCTAGTCACTTCTGGCTCTTTCATTCTTTGCAGCACATCCCATCTTTGTTGCCACTATTATGTTTTCAGTTTGGTGAGGCATTGAAGAGGCAAATGGTGCAAACAGCAACTCTTTATTCAGTTAACAACAGAAGAAACACTAACTGCTGCTTAACCAGTATTTATACAGCTCACCAGGTGGCAGCCAATAGAATTGAAGCAATATTTCCCGCTTAAAGACAAGCTAATTAACATGTAGACAGTCAGTCTGGAACTCAGGCAGGTGCAGCAGTTTAACTATTTCCAACAGTTTCCAAGTAATAAACCTCAATACACAACATTTATTCTTGAAGGAAGTAAGAACAAATAAATCTATATGCATTACAGTCAGTGTAGTACATAGTTAAAGGACTAGATTAGGAGTGGGGAGCTGCAAGTCCATCAGTAATGGAAACCGGTTGGGTGATTTGGGGACAACTACTATCCTTGAGTGGCTTTCAGTGCAAGTAATTTTTCTTTATTTAATTGTTTTACATTATTACTCTACATTATTATATTTTCTTTCTTAAATTAAGAAAATCATTGATCTACCAACTGTAGGGATTGGTTGGAGATGATAATGATAAAGATAACACACACACATACAAATAGACACACAAAAATACATAAACATATGAGAAAGAGAGAGGGAGAGGAGAAGGAGAGAGAAATAGGGGGAAATGAGAGTGTGTGTGTTCTGGCTTAGGAGCAAGAGATGCAGGTTCTATTCTTCCATATGCATGGAAGCCAGCTGATGACCTATCATTTTCTCTTAGCCCTAGACTGAAAATAGTGGGGAAAAAAATCTCTACCCAGTACTGGATCAGCATGGTAGGTAATGGTCTTTAAACTTTAATAAAGAGATCATATATCATATGATATGTTATATCTATATCTATATCTATATCTATATCTATATCTATATCTATATCTATATCTATATCTATATCTATATCTATATCTATATCTATATCTATATCTTTATTAAAGTCAGTGAGCAAACACGAGCACCAGGGAGTATAGTAAAATAATTTAATATTAAAATTACTAATTAAGACACCAATTAAAACACCTAGCTTTCGTCGGCTATCTGCTGACGTCCTCAGGGCTCAAAATGTCAGTCCATGGGAGAGTCACTTTTATAGTTTGACTAGCGTGTGCGCGCGGCTCCTTGATCTTGTTATTGGGCCGGCCATGACTAAGCATGTTCCTGACGCCGGTTCCTTGGCAACAGCTTCCTCCCTCCGCACCTCTCATTCGCACAGCTGTCATCAGGGGATTCCTCTTTTTTAGGGCTAAATGTCAATGGGAGACCTCCTTTCGCACACTCAGATCCATCTCCTGTTTTCCTTTCCATATCCCTTTCACACCCTCTCCCCTGGGTCCTTTCCAATGCCGCTCCACACCTCTTTGTCCATAGTCGAGTACATGTCGTGCCAACTCGCTTTCTAACGTCTCCTCCCCTCTCCCCATCCCCTTTTTTGATGGTACAGCCTCCTATTTTCTTATCTCCCCCCTTTTTTGTTCCAATGTAATTATCATTGCAAATGCAATGGTCGGGGGTTGCGATCTTTTCCCTTTCCCCTTCCCAGTCAGTCATCTGCCTCTCAGCACCCCTCTTATTCACTTTCCCCGTCTCTTTCCCGATGGTGCAGCCGAATGGTCTGTGTGGTGGCAGACAGACGGAAGACACCAGCAGAGGAAGAAAGGGGAGGATCGTGATTGCAACTCCTGACCTCCGTATCTGCGATGACAACTACATCGGACCTGGATTACAGGGGGGGGATAAGAAAGGGAAAAGCTGCACCATCGGGAAAGAGACGGGGAAAGTGAATAAGAGGGGTGCTGAGAGGCAGATGACTGACTGGGAAGGGGAAAGGGAAAAGATCGCAACCCCCGACCATTGCATTCGCAATGATAATTACATCGGAACAAAAAAGGGGGGAGATAAGAAAATAGGAGGCTGTACCATCAAAAAAGGGGACGGGGAGAGGGGAGGAGACGTTAGAAAGCGAGTTGGCGCGACATGTACTCGACTATGGACAAAGAGGTGTGGAGCGGCATTGGAAAGGACCCAGGGGAGAGGGTGTGAAAGGGATATGGAAAGGAAAACAGGAGATGGATCTGAGTGTGCGAAAGGAGGTCTCCCATTGACATTTAGCCCTAAAAAAGAGGAATCCCCTGATGACAGCTGTGCAAATGAGAGGTGCGGGTGGGAGGAAGCTGTTGCCAAGGAACCGGCGTCAGGAACGTGCTTAGTCATGGCCGGCCCAATAACAAGATCAAGGAGCCGCACGCACACGCTAGTCAAACTATAAAAGTGACTCTCCCATGGACTGACATTTTGAGCCCTGAGGACGTCAGCAGATAGCCGACGAAAGCTAGGTGTTTTAATTGGTGTTTTAATTAGTAATTTTAATATTAAATTATTTTACTATACTCCCTGGTGCTCGTGTTTGCTCACTGACTTTAATATGGAATTACCTAGGGATCACATTTTAAAAGAAATTTCTGATATCTATATCTATATCTATATATCTATATCTACTGTATATATACATAGACATAGACATAGCACATATCATATGAGGGTATGCATGGTCTAGTTTGCGATTCCACTAGTTATTAAATTCTATCCCAGAATTGCAAAAGTCAAATGTTTGCTCAGATATGTAGCCTTGACAATTAACATCATGGACCTTTGCTCTGAATTTGATACAAAACTGCTAGTCCAACCACATCCATCTGATTCACCTTTGGACAAAATTTCCAATGGTTTAAGGTTATAGGGCAAGAGAGAAAACAGTTTACTTTTTTGAAATCTATTTATTCGTGTTTTGAAAAAAATTGCTGACATTTCTTCAGGCAAGATTTGTCTAACAAATAAAATGGGCAAATATTACAGGAATTATTAACAAGTGTTTTTCCTTTGACCTTTCCATGGGTACAGGATAAAGTGGGTGGTGATTACCCTGGGTGATATAGTATAAAAGTTGCCTCTGTCCATGTATTCTTCCTACTTTGTTCACTCTAGCCCCAAAAGAATTTGGAAACATGAAGTGGGTAATATTCATCTCTTTGCTTTGCTTGGTAGGCTTTGCTGAGCTGAAAAACCTACCTAGAAGATATCGACATACTGGTATGATGTTTTCTGTTTCTCATTCTCACTTTTTAGATCTTCATTTGATTGTTCAGATTTGTATTGAATTCATAGTAGTACTCTGGAAGTACAGAGTAAAAGCTTAGTCCACAAGGGATTGCATGTTCCTTCAATAGAATTTTCTAGAATATACCCTAGTTTATCTTCAAACTGTATGAATCTTTTGTACTTTCAACTGATTTTTTATCAGTTGATTTTCCCAGTGACTTACGTTTGATTAATAGAGTTGTTTATAAAAAATATAATAGGATCTGCTTATCATGATTAGCAATATGCTATTTATGTGCCTAATGTTACTGAATGTGTAAATATTTTCTATTCTCCAAATCAAAACATTTTCTATTCCAGATCCTGACATCTCTTGCAGTCAGGTATAATACTGTAAAACTTTACTAGATGCATAGAAGAAATTGCAAAATTGTTCTGCAAAAATTGTTGACCTTGATTCATTTCAAAATTCTAAGTAGAATCATATTTAGTTATAACACTTTTCCTTTAATGTACTATAATAATAATAATAATAATAATAATAATAATAATAATAATAATAATAATAATAATAATAATAATAATAATAATAATAATAATAATAATAATAATAATAATAATAATAATAATAATAATAATAAAGTTGGAAGGGACCTTAGAGGTCATCTAGCCCAACCCCTGCTCAGGCAGGAACCCTATACCATTTCAGTCAAATGGCTGTCCAGTCTCTTCTTAAAAACTTCCAGTGCTGGAACAGTCAAAGTTTCTGGAGGCAGGTTGTTTCTTCTTAGTTCTAGGTTGCTTCTCTCTTTGCTTAGTTTCCATCTGTTTGTTCTCGTCTTGCCTTCAGGTGCTTTGGAAATAGCTTGACTCCCTCTTCTTTGTGACAGCCCCTGAAATATTGGAACACTGCTATCAAGTCACCCCTTGTCCTTCTCTTCATTAAACTCAGGAATTCTGGCAGTTGAAATCCACAAGTCATAAAAGAGCCAAGTTTGCCTACCCCTGAACTAGACATAACCAATTCCAGCAACCGTTCCTTATATGTTTTAGGCTCCAGTCCCCGAATCATCTTTGTTGCTCTTCTCTATAGTCTTTCTAGAGCAGGGGTGTCAAACTGCTGGCCCACGGACCGGACACATTACGTGGAAGCTGCGCTCACCCCATTGCCAGCAATGGCAAAACCGGCCCGATACATTGTGTGACGTCACGTGACATTGCGAGTTTGACATGCCTATTCTAGAGCCTCAACATCTTTTTTAATATCATGGTGACAAAATTGGATGCAGTATTCTAAATGTGGCCTTACCAAGGCATTGTAAGGTGGTACTAACACATCATGTGATCTTAATTCTATCTGTCTGTTAATGCAGCTTAGACTGTGTTGACTTTTTTGGCAGCTGCAGCACATTGCTAGCTCATATTTAAGTGATTGTCCACTAGGACTCCGAGATCCCTCTCACAGTTACTGCTATTGAGCAAGATACCACCTATATTATACATGTGCATTTGGTGTTTCTTGCTTGAATGTAGAACTTTACTTTTTTTACCATTGAATTTCATTTTGTTGTATAGTACCCAATGCTCAGGTCTGTCAAGATTCTCCTGCATCTTAAGCCTATCTTCTGGAGAGTTGGCTATTCCTGCCAGCTTGGTGTTGTCTGCAAATTTGATGAGTTCCTCATCCAAATCATTGATGAAGATGTTGAAGAGTACTGGGCCCAGAACAGAGCCCACTACACACTTCCCTCCATCTAGATGCAGTCTTACTGAAGACCACATGCTAAGTATGGCCAGTCAGCCAGCTACGAATCCATCTGGTGGTGATGCTGTCTAACCCACATTTTTCTATCTTATCAAGTAGTAGGTTCTGATCTACTTTGTCAAATGCCTTACTGAAGTCCAAATAAATTATATCCACAGCATTCCTCTGGTCCACTAATTTTGTCACCTGGACAAAGAAAGCAACAAGATTTGTCTGGCATGATCTGTTTTTGACAAACCCATGTTGGCTTTTAGTAATGACTTTGTTTGCCTCTAGGCGTTCGCTGATTCATTGCTTGATTATCTCTTCCAGAATCTTCCCAGGTACTGAGGTCAGGCTGATAGGCCTGTAGTTTCCTGGATCCATTTTTTCCCTTTCTGAAGTTAGGAACTATATCAGCTCTTTTCCAGTCCTCTGGTAGTTCCCCAGTGCTCCAGGATCTTTGAAAGATATTGTTCAATGGTTCTGAGATCACATCTGCCAGTTCCTTGAGAACCTTGGGGTGTAATCCATCTGCTCCTGGTGATTTGAACTTGTCTAGAATGGACAGGTGCTCACTTACCATTTTCTTGCCTATCTTAACTTGTATTTCTAATCTGTTTTTATGGCAAAGGTCATCAACCTTTCTTGGTTGGCAGACTGGAAGGAAAGGGAGGGGAAGAATTTTACATGCACGTGTGCATGCATGGGGCCGCAAGAATGCCCATGATGCAAACAGGGCAGGGCTAGCACCTGCATGATACTTACTAGCCTTGCCCTGTTCTTGTGTGACACAGCACCCCATTTCTGTGCCCCAAGGTGTGGCAGCATCCCATTTTTTGCACCCCATGGCACAGCACCATCCCATTTTCACACTCTGAGGCACAGTGGCAGCCCGTTTTTGCATTCTGCAGCTGCGGCACTAGTGCAAGTGGGGTGTGTGCATGCACATATGCATGCACTGTCCAGCCTGTCCAGCAGACCAGTGTCCAGCAGACCATGGCCCACTACTAGACCACGGCCCACAAGTTGGGGACCCCTGTTTTAAGGTATTGTTTTTGATAAGTTGGACTGTTTTTTTCCCTTTGTGTAAAGATGGATGCAAAAAACGAGTTAAGTAGTTCTGCTTTCTCCCTGTTGCTTGTCATCTCGGCCACTAATGGACCAATCATTTCCTTAACTTTTAGAGAAGCTTTTTTTGTTATTTTTTACTTTTGTCGCAAACCTTTTGAGTCTTAACTTTCATCACTTCCTCTTTGCAGGCTTGGGGTATTTGCTGATATTCTACCTTATTTATGTGCCCCCTCTTTTCACTTTTTATACTTGTCCTTTTTGTCTTTCAATTTATCAGAGAATTCTTTTGCAGCCACGCTCCTTTCTTTTGAGAGCTGTTATTTTTCTTCTTCGCTGGTATTCTGCTAGACTGAGCTTTTATAATCTCACTTTTCAAAATTTCCCAAACTTCTTGAGTTGTTTTCCCCTTGAGAACTCTCATCCATGGAATCCTTCCCAAGCTCTCTCTAAGTTTATTAAAATTAGCTCTCTCAAAGTCAATGACTCTAGTTTGACTGTGTTCTATTGCTTGAGCTTGCATAATATTGAATTCAAATATCACTCCCTCCCCCAAGATTCCTGTGGCTTCAATACCTTTTTTCATTTAATCTCTGGTACAGTGGTGGGATTCAGCCAGTTCGCCCCACTTCGGCAGAACCAGTAGCTAATTGTTTTGTTGCCCAGGCCCAGAATGGGCTTCCGGAAGTGGCATCCACACAGAGAACTGGTTGTTCACATAGTTGAATCCCATTGCTGCTCTGGTAGTGAGAATTAAGTCCAACATTTGTTTCCTCTTTTATATTGACCCAAATGCATTTGAGAGTTTTTGTCACTGTTATGCTCTATTTCTGTAGAGGTGTAGTTATTTCTTATATAGAGAGAAACTCCACTTCCTCTTTTATTTGGTCTGTTTCTTTTAAATAATTTAAATCCCTCTAGCTGTGTGTTCCATTTGTGGGTTTCATCCCACCAAGTTTCCATAAGGGCAAGAATATCATATTTGCCCTCATTTGCCTAGATTTCTAATTCACCCTGTTTATTGCTCATATTCTGTGCATTGGTGTATAGACATTTGAGTCCTTTATGACTGTGTTTACTTTTTACATAACCTATGTGGTGCCTGAGTTCCCCTATTTCCTTACCACCTGTTTGATTAGTGCACTTGGTGTGGCACTAACTATTAAAAGCTTGATTTTGCTTGACAGCAAGGTTAATATTCTTATACGTCCACACATCTATGTTACACGCACTGATAACCCTATTAGTTTTAGATTGCCAGTGACAGGAATGTTCTATATCAATTAATTCACTGTCACCATTGTTCAGTTTAAATATTTCTCCTGGAAATCTGTGAATTTAATGCCAGTAAGTCAGTCCTTTTTTGATGGATGAAAACCACCTCTTTTGTACAGTTTTTCATTGGACCAGCTGCAAACATCATGACTAATATAACCAAAACATTCCCCTTCACACCACTCATTTAGCCACATATTAATTCTGCTGTATGCTGGCCTTTTTTATTTTGCTCCTTATACACTGGTAAAACCTCTGAAAAAGTAAGCCTACAGCCTATCCCATTAAGTTCCTGCTCCAAACTCTGGAAATCATTCTGTACAGAGAGTACATCTTTTTGGGACAGTTCATTAGTGCCAAGATGTACAATAGCATCCACATCAGAGTCCTTGCTGGCATTCTTGACTATCTTAAAAATATGCTTCTCGTCCCTGCTGGCAGTAGCACCTGGAAGACACCTGATCTCTTTCAAAACCTCTGTATCCTTTCCTAAATTTACATCCCTTATAATCGAATCACCAACCAGAAGGTGACTTTTCTTTTTGGATGCCTTTCTCTTCTTTCATGACTGATGTGTAATACCTGATTCACATTTTCCCCTGTCCAAAACAAGTTCTTATCTTGGATCACAATCCCCTGCTTATTTGAGTTATCATCATCATGACTACCTTGACCTGTCTCCTTAGTGTCCCTATTAAGGTCAACAATGTATCTGTTATGCAGGGACACAGCAAAAGCTTTGTGTTTATGATTCACAACTCTCACCCTGCCAGATCCCACAGTTGTCCAAACTGTCCTTCTCCTGCAGGATCTTTGTGATAGAGGGGGCTAATAGCACAGCAGCTCAAGGGATGAACTGGACACCTAATATCTGACTGACAAGCATAGATTACAGACTCTAGATAAGTAATCTGTCCTTGTAGACTAGTGATTTGTTTACAGATAGGGCAGTATCCAAGGTTGAAAGGAGTAATGTGAAAGACAACTGCAAAACAAGTGTTGCACTGAACTAAGCCAGACAGTCTCAAATAAAATGAAATCACAATCCCAAACACACTTGTCCTGAATGTACAACTGCTGTTTTAGATTTTTAATTAGTAGTAATATAGTTGACTATTAAGAAATATTAGAAGAAAGGTAGTTCCATCAAGCCATCTAAACATTTGTGAGAAGAAGGAAATGATAAAACAATTTTGTTTTGTTGCCAAAGAGACCCAAAAAGATGTCTTCAAATAGCTCTTGGAACTGCATTACAAATATTATCTATTTTATTTCATTACAAGAGACATCAAATTTTAAAACATTTTGTAATTATTTTATTTATATTATTGCCAGATAAGCAAAAAATATTAGAGTACGTTCTAAGCACTGCAGTGTCTCCTCAATCTTAGAAATATTTTAAATAAGTTTGGAAGACATCAATTTGTTCTTGCATATAATATGATACCATTATACCCCTTAGATGTTTACCAAGGACACAAAGTTTAATCATTCTTTCCTGGAATAATGAGTAAAATTTGATCACTTCCTTCTTTACAGATGACCATCAATTGCCTTTGAATCGTGTCTTTGCATTAACAAATAATGAGTTTGCTGGCCTGTAAGTCTTCTAAAATATTGTACTATAAGTTATAAACTTAAATAATAAAAAATACTTCATATATAGAAATTGATAATTATAGTACAGTGATGGTTTGCAATAGAGTAGTATAAAATAACGATAATATTGTTATACTTTTTTACCCTAAAAAGAAATAATCTCTTTATGGTTCAGCTTTTTGTTGCTATATCTATAATTTTAGCAGACTGAGAAAGTATTAAATTCTTATACTCTGCTTCAGAAAAGATAATTTCTCTCTTGATATAGTCACTTTTTTAATGCTGGAAAATCGTTATCTTGAACTTTTAAATTTGAAATTTGATCTTGAACTTCTTAAGGTCAAAACAAAATAAGAAAAACTTAGATTCCAAGGAGATAATTCCAAGCACCTCCCAGTGCTTTTCTACACCCTCCATTTCTTTGTTGAGTATGTCCCCTATAGAGGAGAATATTATACCTCAGATTGAACTGTTGAATCTTTGGTGCTCTGGTGATGTTATCTAGTTGGGTAATAAAATGTCTGCAACAAACAACCAAGCTCAGAGAGATCACCAAGGACTTGATTGTTGAATATGTTGCTATTCACAAACTATTTTCTTCACCAACTGTGTTGGTACCTTACTCTTATTCACTCAAAGTGTACTGAATGTCACATTTGAGGAGGAGTTTTATTTGAGGGCAGGAGTGTGAAGGCTCCCCTAAGTGGTAAAGACAGCAGGCTTGTCGGTTTTTCAAGCAACAGCCCAAGTTCAAGACCCGAGTGCTGCACAACAGGGTGAGATCCTGTTACTGGCCCCAACTCCTATCTACCTAGAAGTTTGGAAGCATGCAAATGGGAGTAGATAAATAGGTACCATTTCAATGGGAAAGTAAAAGTCTTCTGTGTGCCTTGGTGTAGGGTCATGCGAGCCACATGACCGTGGAAGCATCTTCAGACAATGCTGGCTTCCTCAGCTAAGAAACAAGATGAGCACCATTCTCTAGAATCAGACATGACTGGACAGGGAAAACATTTACCTTTTCTAATTGAGGAGATATTATAAATCTAATAAAAGGTAGATTTTTATTAGAGATTAAGAATTATAATATATAAATGATTTGCAATAAAAATAGTAGAGAACCACCATAAAATGTCTATTCTTCTTCTCTAAAAATAAATAATTGCTTAATCATTTAGCAGTGTGCTAATATGTCCATAATTTTAGCAGACTGAGAGAGCAGTCATAAGCACCATATTCCACATTCTTGTTCTCCCCTTCAGAAGGGAGTATGTCTGTCTTGCTCTAGTTCAGGCACATCAAACTCGTGATGTCATGTGATGTCGTGCGACATATCGCGACTTTTCCCCATTGCCAGCAATGGGGTGGGCGCGCTTTCACCATGATGCATCCAGCCCACAGGCCGGCAGTTTGATATGCCTGCTCTAGTTGCTTCCTTCCTAATGCTGGAGAATACTGAGCTTGAAACTATTAAGGTCACAACAAGATGAACTTAGAGTCCAGGCACCTCCCAGTGCTTTTCTATATGTGCCACTTCTTGAATATATCCCCAATGGAAGGGAATAAATGTAGCTCAGGTTGAATTGTGGAATCCTTGGTGCTCTGATGATATTATCTGGTTGGGTAATAAAATGTCTGCAAGGAACAACCAAGCTCAGACAACACCAAGAACTCCACTATTGAATATGTTTCTATTCATAGGTTAATCATCTATGTTTTTTTCCCCCAGTGCCCTAATCTTATTCACTCAAAGTGTACCAAATGCCACATTTGAGGAAGTCTGGATGGGGTCTGGATGGGGAGGAACAGACTCAGGCTCAACCCTTCCAAGACCGAGTGGCTGTGGTTGCCGGCGCCTCGGCATAGTCAGCTGACTCCATCGCTGACTATAGGGGGTGAAATTTTGGCCCCCTCAGAGAGGGCACGCAACTTGGGTGTCCTCCTGGATCCACGGCTGACATTGGAAGATCATTTGTCGGCCGTGAC